CCCCCAGCCCCACATCACTGCTCCAAGAGCTCCGGTTAGCATTGACAGGGTTGGACAATTAGAATGGACTGTCCTTAGGCCAATTGCTCCTTTAGCGTAGGGGTTGAGAGTTAGAGAAACAACCATGGTGAGCTACAAGGCATCAATTTAGTATATGGCCATCTACAAACCCAGTCCTGTATAGGTGACCGGGAAGGTCAAAGGAAACATGAAGGCATGTGATGCTGTTAGTGTCTCTTCAGATAGTCAACATTAATGACATTTGAACGCAAACCAGAAACATTAAAAAAATCAGAAATCAGTATCATGTTGGCTAAATATATTCCAACTGGAATTAAGTCTGACCACATCTAACGAAGTTGCTTCTTCCTCTCTCTGGGATGGTAAATGACAGTGATGACGACAGTAATCCATATCAGGCTCCCATGAGATCAAGGGTGTGAGCAGATCCCCTAGCGGCACTCATAAGCTGGGTACGGGGGTGGGTGCCCCATTCACCCTCCCTGCAGGGCTCTCTTGTCTGCCCACTGACAGTGGAGCCTGAACCCGCTGTCTTGGTTTGTTTTGTGATGATCCGAAACACTTACTGAGCAAACGTGGCACAGTGACCAAACCGGCTTGTGTTAAACAAATTTGCACTGTAGTTCAAAGTATTCCGATGGAGGAGCCTGTTTAGGCAGACATTCTCAACTAGTAAATCCTGTTTTGTAGTTTTGAAAAGCCATGCTTATGTCGGACTTACTTAAGCTCGGACATGTTTAAAAGCGGCAAGGGCAGGCATTCGTTTATGACTTTCAAAGCTGCGCATGCTCCTCACCAGCGTCCTCAGGGCATAGACGCCAAGGAGACTATGAACCCGTTTTCCCCATGCGGACGAGTCAAGCACAGGGAACCCCCCAAGTCTGGCAGGGGCAGGTTCGAGAAGGACCAAGCCTGCCATGGGGGGTCCTGTGTTCATGGAGATGGATGTTCCCACGTGCTCGGCCTCGGCCCCTCAAGCCTGTGGGTCAAAGTTACATTTCCTGGCTTATGCAAAGACATAATTCAAGTCGGAACAAAACCTGACCCTCTTTAAACAGAAAGCTGAAAGAAAACATCAAGCCCGGGGGCTGAGTTTCAGAAGGACCCTTAGTTGGTGTCGTGCGCGTTTACCTCCACTCGTTGCTGTTGGGGCCCTTGTTTCTGTTGCTATTGGTTTTTAGAGCGGCTTCCTTTTACAGCTGTGTCGATATTTACCAGTTGTGGGTGAATTTATTGTCAGGTGAGACTATTCTAACCTTCATTAAAAAACAAGTGTTTACCAAATATAAAATATTTATTTATTCACAGAATTCAAACACTTTAAAAATAATTCAGAGGTATGTAGACTGTAGTCTTCACGACTAAAAATAGGATAAGGGCTTCAAAAAGTTCATGGAAAGATATTAAATGATAATAGAAAATTTCCACAAACTCTATGAAGCCTGCTGTAGTGTATTCAGCCATTAAAACAATATAGTAACTTATTTTTAGACAACATTTTGGGGAAATTTTTAGAAAAACCTTAAACATCTATATCCTGCCTAGATCTAGCAAGAACTTCCGCTTTCTTCATTGATCAGAGCTAAAATGTCTATAATAAGAAAAACAAAAACAAACTCACTGCCACCGCGTTAATTCCTACTCGTCACCACCCTATAGGACAGGGTAGAACTGTCCCATGTGAGTTTCTGAGACTATAACGCTTTACGGAGTAGAAAGCCCTGTCTTCTCCTGAAAGAGGACTGGGTCCACAGACTGTGGTGGACGCACAGACAAAAAGCCCACTGCAACTTGCAGGGGCAGTAAGTTACTAATGTGGCTCTTCTAAGCTGAAGCTTTCTGTTCCTGTTAAGATTTGCAGGCTTGTACAAGAAAGAAGTTGTAAACATAGATAATCATGAATACTTTATCAGCTGTCCCTTTGAACACAAATAAAAGTCCTTGCTTTTAAAAAAATGTTTGTTGCATCTGTGTATTAATGTAGTTGTATTTTATGCTTGCTTTGATGAAAAATACAACTTTCCTCCAGTTCCTAAATGTTTCCTCCCCGCTCCCACTATCATGACACGAATTCGACCTTGCAAGTCTGGATAGACCAGAGGATGTACACTGGTACAGATAGGAACTGGAAATACAGGGAATCCAGGGCAGATGATCCCTACAGGACCAG